GTACCCTAAGTTGGACATTTCTTACCTGAACTGAAATACACCCGATTTGAAGAGAGTAATGTATTTTTTATTTCATTCCTAATGTGTATTAAGAAATAAAGTTAAATAATATAATATTTTACGGGCTCAAACGCGGACATAAAGGTATTCGTTCCTTCTATGAGTGTATGAATTGATAAAGCAGAAAATGTAAGTTAATAATGATATAATTACTTATCATTTACAGTCAACGATAGGGTACTTAAAACTGTCCAATCTCTACAACTACAACGGGCTCATTGACCTTTATCTTGCTAGATATAAGTTTCACAATCCATTGAGAAATCTGACATTCATGATCGACTGATGTGTTGTAGATTGTACTTACAACTAAGCTATTGTTTATATGAGAGACAAAAAAAAATGATTCGTGTTCTTGTGAGCCTTAATGAGCTTCTCCTTAGGTTCAATTATATAATGGCATGGAAAACCACTTTATGCTAATTTGTCAGATACTAACGTGCAAGGCTTGTCTGCCGGTCGCTACCTGCGATTTGTTTCTAAGTGGTTAAATATAGGAACCGACTTTTTTCTAAAAACAGAGTACGTCTATACACATACGTACATATTAATTAGAAGCATGAATCAAAGAATCTTCTTTCACACTTTTTACATCTGTAAGGGAGGGGAAGGAAGATCTGAATGGATCTATTTAACCACAAGAGAAAGGGGTTCAGACAACAAGAGAAAGAAGTACCTAATGGAAAAAAGAGTCAAGACTGAATGATAAAAAATGGAATATCGAGAATTACAGAAGAGTAGAATGTATTCCGTGTGTATTACGTTGGACAAACGAAAATTCTCAACAGGGCACGCTGCAATGGGAATCGGATATCATCACACACGTGTTGCGGTAAGGAGAGAGGTAATATGTATAGCCTCATAGAGATTCCCAACGACGAATTACATACTGTGATATTACCGTGACATTGCCTATTCTTTGATATAATTCTTAAACCGGCAACAATAGTGCTGGGGTGTTGTAATAAACTCAGCTATTTATTTCTAAAGAGGTAGATATTATTTTGTATTTCTTCTTCACCATGCAGACGAGAAGTGCATTATACATAACGAAAGGCCTCCCAAAAGTCAGAAGGAAAGGCAAAACATCTTAAGTTTGTTTAAAGCCAACACTAATGGCTCAATTATACTTGGTCGTTAGCCCGTATACGAGTGCACGAAAGACATTACTCGAATTCGGACACCCGAAGCAATATTTACTCTGGCATACGGACTGGAAGAGGGTGTCGGGTAACCAAAACGAAAACTACCAGAATACGGGCGTACTCGACTCCGTTCATTTACACTTAGTCGTTTACTCGAATTCCATTGGCGAATTCCAATACGAGTGTATTCAGGCTAGTGACCAAGTGTAATCGCGCCATTAGTTTCAAAAATCTAGTCAGTACTCGGTACGCACTTGATAAATTTACGTTTGAATAGATAACCTGTACCCCTAGCACGAACTAATATCGAATTCGTATCGTTTGCGAGTCCGAAATATCATTGTCAAATGTGTACTGATTTTTAGTTCCCGTTACGTATTTTTTGGCGCTGCTGTTCAATTTTCTATACAAAATTTGACATTGACATTTCGGACCCGCATCCTTCGCTATCCGGGCGAATGCACTGACCATTATGCTACCACGGCCCTATTAGCTGCGTCAAAATTTTTCCTAGCCTTAAGCTGCAAGGCAGCGCCATCTCTTCGCATTGAAGGTAACCCACAATGTCAAATGAATACTTTTTCAAGTATTAAACATTTTAATGAAGAAATAGCAATTATAGTCATGATTTTATTTATTTTTTAAGCATTTAACTGCTAGATGTTTAAATCTAAAGAAAAGTTTACTAGAAAAAAATCCACGCGGACCAGGCAGCGGACGGGACACGTATCGGTTTGCAAACTATTCGAATTCGATAATGGGTCGTGCTAGGGGTACTGATTTGACTAATATAAAATCGATCGCTTTCTTTTGTTTTGTATTGGCGCCGTAGCATCCTGCTGAGCCGGTCTTTATGGAACAACATGTTTAGGCCGGTCACTAATAAAGCTCGCTGCTTATCCAAGCTCTAATCTTATAACAAGCTCATTATTGTGTTTGGCGGGCTGCTTATTATGTCGATAATTTAGTTTGTGCTCATTCGAATATCGCATATCGCCGCTGTGCTCTCTAGCGGCTGTCGACCAATACAGTCTATGATTATTACTTACCTGTTAAGTTGGTATTATGGTGAGATCCATTATACGAGACTAAAAAAATATTATAAGATCATGATATTATAATTATTTAAGAAATAGTTACGTTGTAAGAATATAACACTATACAAGAAGTATTAATAAATAAGTTTTTATCAGATCTTTTCGGACAGAGCTCGTTTGTTCTACGTTTACAGGGACCGAAATAGCGTTTTAATCCCTGTGGAATAAAAGTAATTTGAATTAAGAATGTGGAAAATGTAAGTTAAAAAATCTTATTACCAACGAGATCAACACGGACATATGATGAACAAGTCACTGAACTCTTTGTGACTGTGAACTGTCAACAAGACTGTTTTAAAAAAATCACGCGTTTGGCAAATTAAAAAAAAATGAGATAAAAATAAAAAGGCGGGCTAGTGCGAGCCGGACCTGACCATGAAGGGTTCCGTAGCAGCAAGTAACATAATATAAAGGTTCTTGTTAGGGTTACAAAATATTGGTTCATGGTTTATGCATAAGGTTTATGTTTATGAAATTAAATGATTTATTTTTATATTTGGGTTGATTGAGTGAAAGGTAAATTGCGATTTATGATTTATAACGTATTAAAAAAAACTACTTACTAGATCTCTTTCAAATCAATTTTCTCTGGAAGTTTGCATGGCAATGTACATCTTATATTTTTTTTAGTTTTATTTTTCTCTTATTTTAGAAGTTACAGGGGGGACGACACATTTTACCATTTTGGAAGTGTCTCTTGCGCAAACTATTCAGTTAAGAAAAAAATGATATGAGAAACCTCAATATCATTTTAGAGGACCTATCCGTAGATACCCCAAACGTATGAGATTGAGGAAAAAAAATTGTTGAGTTTCAGTTCTAGCTAACCTAGGTAGGTCTAGGGTAACCCCCAAAACTTATTGTATTTTTTTCTATTTTTGTGTGAAGATCTTAATGCGGTTCACAGAATACATCTACTAATCAAGTTTTAATAGTATATTTCTTATAGTTCCGGTAAAAAAGTTTGTGCGGCTGTGACATACGGACGGGCAAACAGACAGACATGACGAATCCATAAGGGTTCCGTTTTTTGCCATTTGGCTACGGAACCCTAAAAACGCGTCTTAATATGCCTTTGTTCCGTTCATATTGTTTTCCTTAATTTCTTTGGTATTCTTCATTGCCATAAAATCCGAATCCGAGAAAATTTGAATGTTTTTCCTCAAATTTAAATTTAGAAAACAGAATGTTTTCCTCGAGCAGTGAGAACAATGTAAGAATGAAAGTACTGTAACGCCCGTTGCGTTACAGCCTGTGTGCTTGTATAAACTCTTTGCTCATGCAATGCCTAAGGCTGGCAGTAATATTAAAAAGGAAATGTCATTATTTTAAAATAATGACATTTCCTGAAATAGGGAATCTTTTGTCTTTTATGGAAGATTTCAGCAGATAGAATTCAGGCACAAGAACGTTCGGTCGACCATTTATTAGAGAAAATATGTATTTCTGAGTCGAATAAATCAAATGAAAAGTCCTAATCGTTATTATTCATTACCATTTGAGTTTTACCCCCCCAGGATCTCCATCTTAAAAGTCCCTACAGTACATATCATAGTAACTCCCGAGAACATTATATAGGACAAAAATGTTAGATGCATTTACTAATTTTCTCATAGAGGGTGTCAAAAGTAGAGTGGCCTCCTCGGGAGAATCACTATTTTAAAGCTCAAGAAACGCTCTCGACTTTCAAATAGCTGCTCCTTAGTAAACAATCCACTATTATTGTGTACCTATATCATAAACAATATAGTTCAAGATAGAAACAAATATTCAATTTAATAGTTTCAGTTCCCAAAACAATGCCTAATTTAAAGTTTGAAATATCTTTCTTTTGTCTTTTATATATTTATCGATTAAGTTACAGTCGAAGATACAATACTAGATGCACTGTCATGCTCTCATAATAGTCTCTTCGGCGGTGTCGTGTGAGGCGGGTCGTTACGTTCCCTAAAATATGGTTGAGCGAAGCGATGGCTGGTTCATGCGTCATGCTCGTGAACGGGTGCTGCCAGCGGAGATGAGTCTGCCCTAACTTCCTTAATATTGAAGTTAATGTTTAGTCACACTGAATATAAATAACACTATTTGTATTTATACTGTATGACACAGCAATCAAAATGCAGGTAAACAATTAATGTATATTTAATAATTATGTAATGAAAAGTGACTTCATGAATCACCTCTGAAGTCATTTTTCAATTTGACGACTCTGTAAATAATAAAACAGGGAGAAAAAAACAGCCCTTGCTGAGTTTCTTGCCGGTTCTTCTCAGTACAAGGTCTCCCGCCGTAGATTTACGAACCGATGGCGTAGCTTCTAGACATTCATATGTGCTTGTAACAGCCTAAACTGAATAAATGATTTTGATTATGATTATGATTATGACTGTCATCCTTATTGCTCCGAATTAAAGACGCTATCATATTCAAAATTGCACCCACCTACATAGCCTTGGTACACGTTAATCTCACGCGCACCGCGTAGAAATCGTTCCAATAGGATCGCCAGACCATTCAGTAGCCAAACGTCTTTCCAGCAGTATACATATATACCATGGCATAACAACGCCACGCTCAGTCAAACCTACTCGCGCGCGCGTTGTTTAGACATCCGCGTTCGATTATAATCTATGCCATTGGAAACCGCGGCGGTGCGCCTTCGAAATTCAAAACAATATTTTCGTATATTTATTTAAACTTTTTTCATTATTTTTCCGCGTTTAAGATACTGTCGATTAGACAGGCAAAAAGCTTGACGAAAATGGAGCAGATGAACGGATACGTTGGGACATGCCCCTTTAATGGTGACAGTGAGGTGAAAGTGGAGAATCAGAAAAATGGAAAGCCGAACCTTCGTGTGAAGGTACCACAGCCGATGAGGCTGAGAAACCTCTTGCTGCATGAAGAGACCTTCGATACGTTACAATCGAGAGCCGACGAATTCGCCAGTAATGTGAGTACTCTTAAAATTCTGAATTAAGCTATATACTTTTAAATTGAACACTACATTTATTAAGTAGTACATAAATAACCTACTGCTTTAAATGTCAAGTTTGTATAAATATGCTGTCAATGTTGACAGTTAAAGTTTGAAAATAAGAATATTGTCAAACCGGCAAATATCCATAGCCAATCGGGGTCTGACCCATTTTGTTAATTTTATTTTACAAATAATTCTTATATCAATCCAAATAATTATCATCAGTATCATATCATATTTCAATTTAAATTGCTCTTATAGCAGTTGTCAAGCGCTGTCTTAATGTTATTCTGGCGGCTTTGGATAACCACTGTATTAAAACTATAGTACAATTCTCGACCTAAGTACATAAATAATCAAATGAACAGAAGGATCATTAGCAGTCATTTGCGCATAATCAAATGAATAATTATTAATCATAGTGAAGTAAACACAAACAACCTTACTTTTATTAGTCCAAACTAGACAAATATAACTTAGTTTTGAGTAATAGAATATCTTGGCGACGATAACACATTACGATTTTATAAATAGTCTGTGACACGACCTTTTAAAGCCAAATACCGCTTTAAAAGTGAAGCATTTCAATTTACACGTTAGATTATAAATTTACTAAGTAGCAAGAGTATGGGAAGCAACAATTTTCCATTTTTTATGATCATCAAAAATACACCATATTAATACGGTTTTAAACGAATAACCAGTTTATGTTAGGGATTACTGTTGTTTGATGACAAACACAATAAGCTTATTGCCGGACTTTTAAAAACAAACACAGTTTAAAACATTTGACCGAAAAAACCAATTGCTTCTGTTATTTACGATTGTTAATATAATAAGGATGATAGTAAAGTAGAGTCTTCCTCGGGAGCAACACTATTTAAAAGCTCAAGCGACGTACTTTGAATCCAGCAAGCAAATCCGTTCTAATAGATTCAAAAAACGCTGTCAAATTTGTTTTTTGCTGCCTTAGTAAACAACCTAATATTAATGCCCTAAAATAAACAAACAAAAAACATTATGTTTGAGTATCAGTTCCTGGTCGGATTTAACTAGAAAAAGATCTAAGCATTTCAATAATTATATAATATCTAACATTTGCTTAATATAAGCACTTATTATCATTAGAGCGTTAACTTGTAGATTTTTTATATTTTACACACATATATATATTTCTAGTGTGTACCGTCAAAGGTATATTATATTACTATCATAAAATTTATGGAAATTGACGAATGACAAAAAGTAAATACAGAACGCCGTAAACCATAATTTATTGATGTTTTTTGTGAATGAACTAACTTATGTGATAATAAATGAATAAAAAAAAAATAATTGTGATACACCACGTTTTCTCAAATGATAATATTAAAAAAAAGAGGCTGCCTAGGTAGGTAATAAGTTTACCTGGTTACACACCTTTATGTTCACTGTCAACATTGATCACTAGAGACCGGATTATATGCATTTGTATATTTGCATATGCATTTGCTTATTTAAGCCATTCAAAGCGGTAATAGCATATTTTACATAAGATTTACTTATGATGCATATTATCGGTACATTTACAATATTCTTCCTAGTGTAGTGCACTCCCCTGTGTTCCGAAATGCCATAAAAGTGACAATATCGCTAATTCGCTTGCTGAAGAAGTACGATCTTCGTTTGGGAATGTAAATGAACTGATTTGATCAACAAAAAAAGTTTTCTCAGGGCACCTGTTCGTATAGCCTAAGTCAAAGCCTACAAAGAAAAATGGCCGAATTTGCCACTCCCTCCCGAACCAGTATGGGGAAAGTGGATCGAAGCAGTGCTGTTTTACAATGAAATTTTGAGGCTATTAAAGGTGTAGTAAATGACTTTGACAGTGCCGAGTCAAACAAAAATTCTGAATTATCGAAAACAATCTAACCACTGAAAAAATACTTGATTGTTTACGTCTACAAAAATTAGAAATAATTTTAATTTCATGTAATGTTGCTGTACTTATTATAGCCTGACAAAAAAAAATACTAATTAAATGCTGATTTTGAAATAAAAAAATACTAATGGTACCTAAAAATTTTCATTCCATTCCGCATATTCTGCCAATTTTCGTGCATATTTCAAGCATATTTGCATGCATTGCATGCATATAACAAAAGATTGTTCCGGCCTCTATTGATCAGCATTCGTTTTAATCTTGTATGAATATATTTTCTTTAAATACTAAGCTAGTTCGCAATTGTAGACAAACAAAATTTATTGAAAAATGGAGTGGTTATTTGAAACAAGGGTTCAAGTGAATCTTTTAAAATCATCAATAAAAAAGTCCTTCCTCGGCTAGGAATCGAACCCGGGCTGCATACGTGGCAGACGAGCCTTATACCACTGAACCACCGATGCTTGTTGATCAGGTCTAATTTTTTTAATGACAATTTATTAAAGTACTGCAGCATGCTAAATATGAATGAAAAAAATTGTGGCGATGTAATGCATTTCGTTTGCACTACTCAATGGTGCAGACGATACTATCAATAATGTAGTTTCGTTCGCACCATTTATGGTGCAAACGGAACCGATCAGTTTCATTTGCACCATTAAGAGGGAAGACGGGCAATGTTTTTTTCCATACGAACGCTCTCGACATATACCTCTTTGGTTTTTATCACTAAAGAATTGATTATCATAAAAAAATATAATTTAACTCATTCTATGCTATTATGTCTTCCTTTTTTCGATAACTTTTCGATAACTAGAAGCCCTCAATAAAATTCTGACCATTAAAGACGTCTAGTGTAGAGATTTAATAAGCATTTTCAAAAAATTAAAATATAGAGGCATAGTATAATTACTTATTGTTCTATGGATAAACTTAGATATATGTTAATTATTCGAGGAGGAAATCGTCGAAAGTCACACCTAGAATTTTGCCTTTTTACAGGCAATTTTCAGCGTTAACTACTTTTGTCCCTATCGCCCGGTATTTGCCAATGCGTTTTTTCAAATACCTTTTCCTCAAATGTCTTTTATCCCGCGCCCGTTCCAGGTGCATTCACTACTACAAAAGTTTCACTTTAAAAACAGAAAAAGTGTAATATTAAACAAGGCCAGGATGCAGCTGATTTAGAATGCATTAAAATTATGAATTAAAATTTTCTTCGCCCATCTTAGTTGTTAAACCCCCACAAAAGCAGACATAACACGCTAACACTGCGAATCATATGGTATTTCCTACAAACAAAATTAAAATAACAGGATTCCAAATCGGATCAAATTATCATAATGTTATAAACAACAAAAACTCTGCATTTGAATAATATAAAAGGAGATGAATGTAGCGATGTAACAAATTAATGGAGCTCGTATACCCACTCTTGCGCTTGATAAAAATCTATGAATTAATTAATAAATAACAGTAGCTAAAACCTGAGCTATTTAATAATCAAATGATAGTATAATTTCTTTAGTATTATTTATCATTTGAATAAATTTAGCCATTTTATTTGTTTACTATATTATGATTTTGTTAACCCGAACTAAGAAGCCTGTACCACCACAGGTAATGTTATATAGATACTTAGCTATCATCAGCCTATTAACTAAAACTCTGATAAGGAAATGGCCTTTAGGGGCAGAATCACATTTGGAGATACACGGCTTCACGCATGCCATCTACACGGCGCGGGCGGGGGGCTCAGTGCGATTGGTTACTAACCCTATAGAAATTATAATTTTTATTTTCTTAAGCATGTAACTGCTCGACGTGTAAATCTGAAGAAAATATTACTAGAAAAAAATTCAGGCGGACCAAGCAGCAGTCCCGTCTGGTGCCTGATCCGCGTGGAATTTTTACTAGTAATATTTTCCTATAAAAAATGTTCGGCAAAACAATATAATTAATTACTTTTTTATTATTTTACATTTTCTTAGTGTTGAAAAAAACTGTTACATAACTGATAAAAAACTTATTATTGGGTACCTATGTAGCTTTTGTTTTCTCTATCCAAAATGAGTCGATATTTTAACGATTTTCAGCCTTACTTACTTGCGTGCGGCCCACTCTAGCTTAGCACGGGTACAATATAATAGTGAATTAACTGAGGATTAAAAAAACATGTAATTTACGTAACTGCCGTTTCCTGTAAAATTTCCAACAAGTCTGGGAGATATAGCAAAGATTGGGAGAAAACTGGTGGGCGTGACAAGTGTAGCATAAAAAAACAAATCAGTGCGATATAAACAAATGAAGATCAGTTTTTCCTAAGTTTTTTAAGGTGAGTAGGCGCGAAAGTGGGCGCGAAGCGGTGAAACTGGTTCTAATACAAGATATGAGTAATGGCCTATCCTTTCACATTAAATTTATTATCTATACCGTGGTGTTAACAACTGCAAACATGAAATCGACTGAGTTATCTTAAGTGATCATTTATACATGCGGCAATTGGTTCTATTTTTACCGAGAGACAGACCTGGCTTTGCGCGCTTTTATTATACTAACGTAAAAGTATATAGATTAGAATATCCTACAAATATATATTTGACGACCTTCGTGGTGAGTAAAGTGTGTGATTTTGTTGAAAAATTACCATTATGTACCTACGCAGCGTTTTTCGCCAGATCGCTGTAATTTTTAAATACGTAGAACATTGAGTTTTTAATTTGAGATTAGATCTATGTTAAATCGATTTAGTTTTGGAATGTGCTTATTTGAAGCGATGACAAAAACGTCTTAAATTTATTCCACGTTTAAACGCTTTTTTTAGTCAGTTGCGTATGTAAAGCGCTTTAGAAAACGTTAAAATGTAAAAACCTGAAGTTATGTAGTCAACGATAACTGTAATACGTTGAAAGCTTATACACATTATATTTAAGCAAAATGAAAATTTTAACATAATCACCTATAATAATAATACGAGTAATTCGTACGGACAAATAGATGGCGGGCGGGACTAAGCAAAAAGCGTGCTGTTTATGAACTTAGGAGCATGCTG